GACTAAAAATGAACTCCCAAAACTTACTGCACCATGAAGCTAAGGAGAAAATGTAGAACTGAAAACTGAAAAATTGGAAAAACAGCTTAGTGAAAAGCGATTACAGTTTAAAAGCAAATAGAAAGTCCTATTTTTTAATTTCTTTTCTTTATATATTTTTTTTTACAGATTTGCACATGTACAAGGTTTAAAATGCTCATGATTATTTATCACCAGTACTGACTTCAATGGATTTCCTTAAAGGGGTCATATGATGCGATTTCAAGTTTTCCTTTCTCTTTGGAGTGTTAGTGGGAACCCTGATAAAAATTAAACCTGTTAGTTAATGGCTTTAAATATATTATTTTCATTGATCTGTTGTGTTGCTTATTGCCTCCACAGAAAGGAATTAAAGAAGATGCAAGACCAAGATGAAGATGCCACTCTGACCCAGCTTGCTACAGCCTGGGTCAACCTTGCAATTGTGAGTATTGAAGTAAACATGAAAAATAATTTTCTTGGATGTTCCTTGTCTAAAGGCTGTGAGTGGGCTGGCAGCCATCGATGAGTGTCTGTTAGCCCAGTTTTTGCAGTTTGTTCTGCATCGTTTGCACTAGTTGGACCTGAGCATGTTGAAATTAAGTCGGAGACTTTGGTTGTGAGAGATCATTCTTATTGGCTGTTCAGCTTAGCCAACCAGTGCATGAGAAGAAAAACGAAAATGTTAAAATTCAAGAAGGCACACATAGAAGAGTCTTCTCATTTTACCTGAGCATATGCAAATATTTTCATAGTGACATGGATATCGGTGATGTAAGCAACCGAAGACCAACTGATCAACATGATTCACATTTAAAATAGTATGCAAGTTCTGCTTTGTTTACGGTTTGTATATCTGCAATCCTATTTCTGGTTTAATTTTTTTTGAAGATGAATACAGACTACTGCCGCCTGCTGGTATGAAAAGTTATTTACTCTGATGCAGATTCAGAAAGTATGGGCATGTCCCAATACCCACACTTACAGTCTTTGCACTTGAGCACTTGTCTACTTACATGACATATTTCCTGTATTTGGCACAAGTGTTCAAGTGGGCGTGTAAAACTTTTGCTTATCCAGTGGGACATACTTACAACATAGCAGTTGTAAAAATGTAAGTAAAGTTTTCACAGAGCCTTATTTACACATTTTGTACATTTAATACATTGCACTTCAAAATAAACTTTTATATGTCTGTTCAGAAGTCCTTCTAACAGATGACAATTTAATAATTGTGATGCTTGTAATTAAGTGATAAAATC